TGTTTCTCGCATTTCTGTAAGTAAAGAAAATAAAGTTAAAAGCAATTTAGACCAATTTTATTGCACTACGCGATGAAATCTCTTTCCTGAATTCACAATCAAAAAGTGCTAATGGAAAACTACGGGCGTCCACGGCCAGTATCATTAGAACTTTCTGTAGATTCTTCAATCTAAATTTAGATATTTCTACTTGATTATTCCACTCAACTAGGCATATTTTATTTTTAAAACACTATATCACGTTTTGTTTTTAATTTTGTAATGGAATTATTTAAAAGATGTAACTATTACCTTTAAAAATTTAAATTAATATAGTTAATTTGTTAATAAGTTTGTGGTGATACTTAGGTGTTTGGACGTTTGTCTTTATGGTCGTTAATTATTAAATAAAAACATAGTATAAGTATATCAATATTATGAAGACTATATTAGAAATGAATATTTAGAAAATGCTATCGGTGTTATAGTTAAACTGGATTATAAAATACGATGCCTTTCCATCACTAATACATTTTATAGATTCGATTACATTTCATAGCGCACTAGCGTCTTGTAAGTTTGCGGTTAACACCAATTTCATTTCATTGCCGGCAGAAAGTCCCACGGATTGCAGAGATCGTTATAAAGCAATAACTAGGTTTAGGTACAACAATGGCAGAAGCCAAGTTGTACTATAGTATACATAAATGTGGTGTACAAAATGAAATAATTTCTCGCAACATTATATTTTTGTTACTTTTCTTGAGTCAATTGAGTTAGATAAAAAAATATACGTAGACATTTCGAAGAGATGTCTTGCCCTGCCTTAATTAAATGCCGCTACATAAACTTTACCCTTCAGAAAAACCTTCATTAGACTCATTACGAGCATAATAACAAATGCAGCTACAAAAAGAATTCATCATTTAATTTTGAACCTTAAAGCGTTGTTACAAAATTTAAAACTAGCCTATCGCTTACGTTGAATAAGACTTTTATCTACGCCAGATTGTGAGGTACAATAGTCAACGACAAAAAATGGTCTCCTCAGATTTACGTTACGAATAGAATCGTTAAAGTAAACTGGTTCTAAGGTAGGCAAATAATAAAGTTAACGAGTTGTACTCAAAAGAGTCTCAAGGGAAATTTTAATATTTCTTTAAGCATTTTCTACTTAACTCACCGCGGGTTTCCTGTAGATGCAATAGGTACTTTTTAGGGCTGATTATGTCTTTAATGTCAAAGTTTAAATTATGTCTTAATGACAAAGTAAATATTTAAATATATAATAATCTTATATAAGTTTTTTTTATTGTTTTTATGTATCGAGCAAAGCTCGTCTTTTATTTGCCAAATACGAATATGTAAATACTTAGTGAATATATAAAAAATCTTTACAAAATAAGTTTTTTTCTTTATTTCTTGCAAAAAGTGTAAGTTGAGTCTAAATAATTCTCAAGTACATTTCAGATTTTAAATGTTTAGATATTCTTATTGATTTCTTTCTTATTCTGGTTTTATTTGTTTATTAAATTAAAAAAAAAAAACAAATAAATCCAGAATTCAATTAAACTAAATTTAATTACTTACAACATTTACCCTGTGTTACAAAAGCAGACAGTGACAGAACTAGTTAGAAAATTCAAGCTAAATATAAGGACAGTGGCAGTCCATGTATCACCAATTGATTCTTGATGCTAGAATATCATAAGAAACATCTAAGTAAACAAAGCACAATACACCAATACAGAAGGAAAATTTGAAATAGAACTCTATACTAAAGTGTACTAATAATTAAATACTTAAAAATTAATTGTTAAATTAAGGACTGGGAATCAAAACAAACCTTGCCACAAGTCTTTTATTGCCTTCGTTCCCAAGAGTGTTCCAATCTATACGTGGACCACACGGCGACTAAGTGACTACGGAGAAACAATACCTTGTACTGCAGTAACAAAATATATGAAATTTACCATGGACCGCACACCATAGCTTATTCTGTGATGATATATAGTTATAAATAACGTTAAAAGACCGAAAAAGGTCCACTTCCGAGTATTTGATCTACTAGTAGGAAGCTGCCCTTTTGTAAACCAGCCGTAATACATGAAAAGTTGACACAATCAAACTACTTCTGAGACAAAGTAATAATGTGACTTTCCATTGTGCAAACGTGTAAATATTTATGTTGCTTATTTGTCTTTAGGTTGTGGGAACAGGCAAACTTCGTTGTGTTTGATTTTATTGACAAACTACTCGGCGACCTTATTCAAAAGTTGTGAATATTTCATTCTGTTGAACTGTTACGACTAGAATAAAGTTTTTTTTTGTAATTTTCACTTATGTATAAGTATTTATAATCTGTTTAAATGAAACTTAATGAAAGTTAAAACAAAATATTGATTAGCTATGATAACAGACACCTAATATACTAAAAAATCAGACAAATAAAAGAATTTAACAATTGAGGTAATATTTTGATTTGTTATAAATTTAATTTCAATAGTGTTTTTGTGACAATTTTAAGAAAACTTTTTCACTTTCTCTTAAGTTCTAATGAAACAAACTTTAAGTAGATATTTTTCTATATTATAATTTTGTATATCTCTGCATTGATATTATCAATACATGGGATACTTTGCGTAAAATTTCATGATTCCAGTAAAACAAGAAACATAAAATTTTATATACACATGATTTTTTTATACATTGTCATAGAATGCCCAATAGGAGTTGTTTGACAGTTAGTATCTCTTAGGGAAAAGGAAAGTTGAACTATAGGTATTACAGAGTAGATTTACATGACCATCATCATCATCATCATCACTATAAAAGCTGTTAACTTTCCACTGCTGAAAATATGTCTTCCATATAAAGGAGATTTTGCTAGAAGTTGCTGCGCTTAGCAGGCGGGTTGGCAAATGCAATTAGGTTTTGGTCCTGTTTCAAGAGAGACACTATTGCCCACCCCTTGATGATTAATCCTTATCTACCTCTTACGACACCCGCGATAATGGAAAGAGTGACCCATTCTATGCCGGGACCAAGAACATGTTAGTAGTGAAATATGTTTACTATAGAAAAACAACTGACCATAATCAAAAATAAATACGCACTAAATAGCAACAGAAAATATAAAATAAACGGTAGGGCTAATATATTATATTAACACATAATACGTTATATAATTAACATATAATATGTTATGTTCATGGTACTGCTCATGTCTATAGGCGATGGTTACAACTTTCCATCTGGTAGGCCGTCAGCTAGTAGCATAAAAAAACACATAATAATTTAATAAACATTTGGAAAACTTATTTCTATACTATAAGCACTAACAAATGTTAGTATATAAGAAATAAATATAATAAACTATGGTTTTACCAGCTTTTACATGCAACTTTGTCGGCATAGTCGGGATATGTTCTTTGACCTTGACAAAAAATAGCTTATGTTCCTCCACACCCAGTATAGTATATGAATAATAAATGTCATCGTAAATGGTTAAACGGTTAAGGCACTAAAAAGTGATAAACAAACAAAGTCACTTTCATATTTATAATATTACTAAAGATTCCCATAAGGTTGTTGAAGAACGATCAAAATAATGTATGATAAGTACAGAAACACTCATAAAAGTCAATGTGGTACCGTTAAATAAAAAATTCACTTATTATTTACAAATAATGCCCTCAGAAAATGATAGCAAGTTCTTTATTCATGCAAATGCACATCAAATCAGTCAGTTTTTCTTCTTTATTCATTCGAATTAGACGTTTCATACCGATTGTGCTCATTTATTTATTAGAATATAATGTATAAAAAGGCATTAAAATGTTTTGTTGTTATAGTTGTGATGTGGATTGTATCTCTATGGACAATACAAAAAAAGTTTAAAACAGGGAATAATATGATCCATTTTGGAGAAGCTGAATTGTACCATAAAACGTTGAAAAGATTAAAATATAAGTATTTGAGTGAGAATAAAACTTCTACAGAATCAGGTTTTGAAGGCAGGTTTATATTTTTCTTAGAAGCAAACAATATGTTTTCCCTTATTTATACTCCGTAGAAATATCCTAAAATTTTCTTTTTAACTGTCGTCGTTGAACATAAGCCTCCCCCTTGAAAGGTTACCACGCTTAGTAGGCGGATTGGCAACCACAGTTAGTCTTTGGAGATGTTTTAAGTGGGACGCTGCTGCTCATCCCTCGCTCTCGCTTAGTCGCCCCTTACTACACCCACGGGAAAGGAAGAGATAGCCTATTCTGTGCCGGAACAAAACGGTCACAAAATTTTGCTTACTCCAAGTGAAATCTTTATGTCAAATTTTAAAGTCTTTTTGCATTACTTTTTTACTCGACTTTAAAAAGAAGAAGATTCTCAATTCGTTGTATTTTTTTATAGCTGTTGCCTCATATAGATAAATTCCATAGAAATTTGATCAAAATCAGTTCAGTAGTTTAGTTTTTAAATCAAAATAATATAATAGTTTCGTCACAATTAGTGTCGGGTTTTTGTGACAATTTTATTTTATTTTATTTAATTAAATTGCGTTCCACGATTTTAATTTGTTCAGTCAAACAGAACTTATGTGATGCTAGTTAGTCGGTTAGAACAATTTTGTTTTATTCCTCTACCATTAGTGTGCATACGACTGCTAACATTTGAAGATTGACTCCTATTATTATTAGCAGAAGTTCTATTAATAAATAAATATTAATAAATGTAACTAATTTAATAGAAAGCAAAATGTAGAATTTTTACTGATAATAATAAAACTAATAAATAAATGTAATGACTAATCAGTGACATGGACTTCCATAAAATAACGCCTAATTCAGTAAAATAAAAAACTTATGGGAATCTATCAATGTTTCTTTTATTATATAGCTTACTTTTATTATAAAATTGATATTTAACATTTTTTATATTATAGTATTACACTACCTATTCGTTTTACAGTATGGCAGCTATTTAAATCAGTAAATACAACTTATTTATCCTATGAAGAAAAAATGTCAGCAATTAAAAGTTCAGATATACCTCCAGGTATTATAGTCATCATCATTATCATCTCAGTCATTGTCCGTCCACTGCTGGACATAGACCTCCCCCATATACTGTCATTAGCGACGATCCTGTGTGACCTGCATCCACTCACACCCTGCAATACATTAGAGGTCGTCACTCCATTTAGTGGGTGGTCATCCTACGTTACATTTGCACGTAATGTATTATAATATTTATTAGTAATTAAACTAATTTTCTTACCTTTGTATTTTTTTACAAAAATTCCAATATAATGAAATAGGTATAAAAAACTCATATCTGACGTAGAGACAACATATCTACTCGCTATTAAGAATATTATAATACATTCTAAATATCATTATGAATAAAAGAAATAATTCTCTGTATAAATATTTCTGTTTTATTATTACACATGGGTAATAATCCTCCGATTCCAATAAACGGTACTTTTTTTCATAACATGTACGTAAAATGATATTAATCATTAAGGGATATTTTAAATCTATTCTAATTATTAACTATTTTAGGAATGAATGGAACACCCGTCATCTTGGAGGATCAGTCAAGATATACTCTCAAAGCGCTTATAAACAAAGGCTGGGTAGACCATGCATTTAATCAATTCGTCAGTGATTTGATACCTTTGAATCGCACACTGCCAGATCCTAGGGATGAATGGTAATACAAAACTGTTACATACATGGGTACCCAGAATTTAGGGTAACTCTACAATAGAATTTATAGCTTATATATCGAGACTTAACTGACCGAATAGGTATTTAATCGATTTCTATAATTTGAATTACATATTATACATATTATATCTGTATGTGATCTTTTGGAAGGAATAATACAGGATTAATATTCCTTCAAAAATTTGTAAATATCTATTTTTAAATATACTCATACATTCAATATACTTTGTTTGTGTGAATAGAGGTAAATTATTATATATCTTTAAGACTTGCCTTATCTCTTATCAAAGTCCTTATCAAAATCTGCTCTGCTATTTAACCGTAAGGAATTCTAGTAAAATATTTGTAAAACATCACATATTACTAATAACTAAGATATTATTAGTGGAAATTCCAAGTTACTCGGTGAGTTATGAAAAAGCTATGATTGAAGTTGCACTGCGCAGCAGAATTCTAAACGAGGATATCCGCAGAGGAATCAAAGTAATCGATATAGCCCGAAGGATGAGTAAGATGAAGTAGCAATGTGTCGGCCGCATACGAGTAGTTCGAAGAGCTGTCAATCTGTAGAAAATATAGGTTATCCTGTAGCAACCTCGTGTAAGCAAACAAAGATGATCCGCATTAGATAAATTGGTGACTTCAAGTATGCTGCAGAGTGTCATTAAAATAACAACGGTAGATGGAAAGATAAATTAGTAGCTTTATTTATTAATTTGCTATTTATTGCATCATCTAAAGAATAGTATAATAAAATATATATTACACTTATGAAGTAAAAAGGGCGGTCTTATCGCTAAAGCAATCTCTTCCAGACGACCTTTAACAGGCGAATTTTTGATACCATTGTCTATATTATAGTAATTTTTGTAGGGATCTCTAATATTTTTGAAAATAATGTATAGTCTATATTATTCGCTGATAATATAATTTTCTATAGGTGAAAAAAATTTAAAGATATAGTTTTTAGTTTTTGAGTTTATCCATTACAAACAAACAATCAATACTTTCTTCTTTATAACAGAAGAAATAAACGTATAGATATAGGTATAAAAATATTTTAATGAGAATTATTCTTTCGGTCAGTTCCTTAGTCTATAGTAGATAAATAATTACTTACATTATGATGATAAAAATATCAAAGTCTGTTACCTAGTAGAATTCTACTTGTACCTAGCACATTAATATAAAATTAAACAATAATAGTTTTAGTACAAAGAATTCAATCTTAACGTATAATTAAGAAGGCAAAAATATTGTAATTTATACTTAAAGATGCTTTTTTAATTATACAGCACTATCATACCTACTTGTACAACAATTAGTCCATTACCTTAAGGTTGTCTTGAAAAGATTGCTCTCAGCAATAAGACCGCCTTACTGTACTTATACAATTGTATCGTTGTGTTTGTAAATTGCCTTGCTTATTTCCTATATTGTATAATGCAAATAAAGTATACTCATTCATCCATTCATTCATTAAAAACAACTATTAATATTCTCAACATTAATTATTGCAGGTGTAAAAAACAAAATTATTCAAATTTATCCCAAGTGTCAGTAGTGATATGTTTCCATAATGAAGCATGGTCGACCTTGTTAAGAACTCTACATTCCGTGTTAATTAGAACACCCTTTTACTTAATAAAAGAAATAATTTTATTTGATGACTTCTCTGACATGGGTAAGTTTATTTTGTAATAAAATATTTTTATTTGCAGTAAAACAAAAATATTTTAATAGAGATAAGTATATTTGTTATTCATATATATTCATTTATATTGTGTAATTTTAGTATGTATGTATATCAATAATTAGTAGTACCGCATTCGAGTATTCTGACACTTCCCTATGGTTGACTGGGAGAGAATGCTTTTAGCATTAAGTCCGCCATATACACATATTTGTACTAATGAATAAATAAATAAATAAATTTAGATATTGTAATCTGAAATCTATTCTTAATTATAAACATTAATTTATCAATTAACACTGTTTTATCAGTTAAAAATTTTGTGTACTGTATATACTGTTGTAATATATATGTAATATATGTCTATATTGAAGAAGTTGCTAAATAATAAATTACTAATAATTCTCGATGATTTTAATGATGACCATGTATTTGCTCACTTATTAATTAACTATTCTGTACCTAATACTAATTTTTGTTAACTATATATTATCTTTTAATTGGTTTACTTATATTACATATATATAATTATTAAATTAATTTAGCTGTAAGCTTCCCTCAAAAAAGAAACAAAACTTAGATGTGAAAATGTTACAGATCATCTCCATAAACCGCTTGAAGATTACATAAGAAACGTCCCTAAAACTATAATAGTAAGGGCTAAAAATCGTGAAGGTCTAAGCAGGTCTAGGTTGTTAGCTATAAACTACACTACAGCACCAGTTGTCGTCTTTTTAGATAGTCACTGTGAATGTACTAAAGGTAATTATTATAATAAATATGTAATAAATTTGTGTTATATCTCTTTTTCAGTCTAATGTTTGGGATATGACAGTGATATTACAGGGCACGAAGACAAAACACAGTTGTCGGGAATAGTAACATGCTGATCACATTGTACTATGTGGCCTGTATGTTACTATTTCTGATATGTATTGCCTCCAGTCATTGGGTATCATATTCTATCAGGTATGCTTTTTAATTGTTATACTTCAAGTTGCATTATATACCTATATATATATAAATCAGAATTTTAATATTAAGAAAATTTTAATTATTATTATATTTAAAAATTTAAATCTAAAAATATAAAAAAATACGAGAATTCAATATAAAATTAATGAATATGTAGGATTTTATAGTACGGAAATATAGATCGATAGGTGTAAGCAATAAGTATATTATTGCTCGCATCAGAAGAAAAAATGTATGAACATATTTCAAGATTTTCAATCACTGACAATCTTCGTAACAAAATCAAGTGAAATATACACGTAAATAAAGACTCAATTGAGAGTCTGATCGCTTCTATATTGCTTGGATTTGGGTATTCTAGATAAATTTAGATATTTTTCACTGTACACAAATCCACAGACAGAATCCATAGATACAACCTATGACTCAAAACCAGACAATTCGCAATATATATGTGGTAAAAGTAATATTAAATTACATTATAATACGTTTTAATAAAATTTAATGAAAATAAAAACAAAAGAATCAGTTACCCGATTATTCTGCTGATGTACAATGGTATATAGTAATAGTAGTATTCGTAAATAAAAAATACATTTGATTTGTTTGAAAAATCTTATTTGTTATGATTTTCATTTCGATAGTAATGTCAATAAAACTTTTCATTAAATTCTCTTAAACGAATAATAAGCAATAAAACATAAAAATAATATGCCCATTTTTCGTAATAAAAAAAAAAACCAAAATAATTTCAGGTTGGATTCAACCACTTCTTGATCGCATTAAGAGAAACCCCACTACTGTGGTGAGTCCTGTAGTTGATCAAATACATGATTCCACATTTGAATACATAGCTCAAGACACTAACGACTTACGTATTGGTGGTTTTAATTGGAACTTGAAATTTATTTGGTCGGCTATACCACGTGAGGTTCTAGTAAAAAGGAGTCAACTGCTGCTCCTATAAAAACTCCGACTATATCAGGGGGACTGTTCGCTATAAGCAAGGAATATTTTCAAAAACTTGGATACTATGACGAAGGTTTCAATATTTGGGGAGCGGAAAATTTGGAGTTGTCTTTTAAAGTGTGGATGTGTGGAGGCTCTTTAGAAATCGTGCCGTGCTCTCATGTCGGCCATGTATTTAGGAAGAGGGTTCCCTATAGAGGTGAAAAGGGATCATTGAGAAGAAATTTGGTGCGGTTAGCGGAGGTACGTGTTTATTTCTTGAAAGATGTATAGGACGAGCCCCCACTAGATGGATTGACGATCTCAAATGCATCGATAAATGCAGGTAGTCCAGGACCGTTCTTTATGACAATAAATGGGGAAGCCCTATGTTCAGCAGTGGATGGATAATGGCTAAGATGACGATGATGAAATGTGTTTTTTTTATACAACTTAGAATGTGTAAACAAGCTGACGGAAAGTGGTAACCATCGCCTAAAGACATGTGCAGTACCATGTACATAACAGAGTATACTGTTTTCCCAATTATACCCCCCCCATGCGTTTCCATTCCTGAGGACTCAGATATTATTCCTCTGTACCCTATAAATTCACGCCATATCCCACCCTTCAAACTGAAACACAGCCATACAAACACAACTGCTTGGTTGAAACACGAATGGGACAGAGTTTTGGGTACCTCTGTCCTATTACTTTTGTACAAAGTCTGCCTCTGGTAATATAGCTTTTATAGCTTTTTTACTTCTATTGTACACTAGCTATTATGCTTCGTCTGCGTAACTGGGTTAATTAATCAGATTAAACTAGCCTATGTCTTTTTCCAAATACTACACGTGGTATATACATGTACTATTTAGAAAAGGACATTTCATAATAAACAAACTCGCTTCACATTTATAATATCATAACGATACAATTAATCTTATTCTCTATTTTGGCAGGTGTGGATGGATGATTATGCCAAATATTATTACGAGAGAATTGGAAATAAGAAGGGGAACTATGGAAATGTTACTACTAGAAAAGAAATACGAGACAAATTAAAATGTAAAACGTTTGAATGGTATTTAAAAAATGTCTACCCTCAGTTGCAATTACCAGATAAATATGTTGCTAGTGGACAAGTAATTTCACTTTTTTTTTTCCTGTTGTTTTACCTATTTTTGATATCAATAGAAATATTTTCTATATTAAAGATAAGCGTAATATTTACAATAACTTTATTTTCTGACCATTGTTCAAAACAAAGGTTCAAAGTCACTATTACATTTTATTCTAGAAGTAAGTGGTATTTATTATTCTCGTCTGTAATATATAATATAGTATGTCTTGTATATGTGTAAATATATTTGTTATTTATATATTATTCAATCTATATATCGATGGAAATATTAGTATGTATGTGTATCAATTAATACTTGTACCGTGTTCGAGTATTTTGACATTTCCCTAAGGCCGACTGGGAAAGGATGCTTCAGCATAAGTAAATGTGCACAAGATGGTCTTATGCACACCACTTAGTCTTGTGGACTAGATATATTCCACTTTGTGTAAATTTACTGTACTAAAGAGTAAATAAATAAATGAGTTCTATATATTATAAAGGTAGCAAACGAGCGTACGACCCGTCCGATAGTAAACGATTATCGTGACTTGTGGACACCTGTAAAATCAGGGATGTCACGTACGCGTTGCCGACTCTAATAATACCTTATACTTCCCTTTGAAGAATCCCATACCACAGAACCTAGAAAGAGATTTGGAAAGGATAGTGATACTATTATGAATCAACTTACAACAAGTACGAGTACATATATATGCTGTATATCTTTATATAGTTATATAGGCTATATATTTTTGAGATTTTTTCGTAGATAAACAAATTAAACTCACGATTGTCAGTATTTAAATGATTTAGGACTGATAAAATAAAATAAATTTATATCATACCATCTATTATTTTGTGTTTTAAAATAAAAGTTTTTTTTTTTCAGATCTCCAGTATAGGTCATTATGCCATGTGTTTGGATGCAATGACTACGTTTCATACAAACAACAACGTAAAAATATTACCCTGTCACTATGAAGGTGGTAACCAGGTATGTATTTTTTTTTATTCTACTAAATATAATATAATTAATGAAAATATTTGTAACAATGGATTTTGTGATTTGTTACCCTTTCATGCAAAAGCTACTGAACAGATTTGAATGAAATTTAGTGCACGGGTAGGTTATATACTAACTTAGCGTATAGAGTACTATGTACCAATTCATGCAGGTGAAACTGTAATACATGTCCAATAAAAATATAAAAATGTCTGTATATTGTTGAAATTATTAATGATGTAAGAGCTCTTCTAAGATCTTAGACTCATTTACCTCTGAACATTTTTTATCCCATTCATTTGCTTTATTTTTAATAGCATAAATAACATTATATATAGTAGTATGAAGGTGACTCTTTATGAATAATAACTCTTTATGATTAATATTTCAGTATTGGGTCTACACAAAGAACGGAGAAATACGACGAGACGAAATGTGTCTCGACTACCTATTTAATTTAGTCACGTTATTTGTATGTCGGGGACGAGATACTTCACAAATATGGCTTTATGAGAATGAGGTAAGTAATAATGGTATAAATCATAAAATCTTATTTCGCTGTTCAAATAAACCTAGCTTTTTACACGACTACCTAAAAAGGAGTGTAATGTTTTCTGGCTTTATGTATATCCGCCTCGGCTTCTTAATTTTTTTTAACAGAATATAATCCATGTTTCTTGCTGATAATGTTTCTTTCTATAGACGAATTTTTTTTTATTTTTAAGGCAAACAAGCAAACGGCATACGGTAAGTGGTTACGGTAGCCTATGAATGCCTGTAATACCAGGGGCATTACACCTGCGTTTCCGATCCTGACGAGACCTCTTTATTCCTTTTTTGAAAAATATTCAATAACCTGAGCGTTCGTGGAAAGAAACATCTCTGAAACCACGTTGTATACAACCATGTAGGCCTCGATATGGGGGTGAACCCCCTGTCGATGGCGAACTGTACGTAATCGGTTTTATTATGAGTTTATCCGTTACTATTTAAATATAAAATCTTTCATATATTCTACCATAACTTGTAAATATCTAAACATATTTGTATGTATAGGGTATTTTTAGAATCTCTACGTCATTCCGAATAACTGGGACTACAATTATTTTTCAGTAGTCGTGTTTTTGTTTTTTATTTTTGTGTAACAAGAACTGTTTGTTTCAAATTACTATTTATAAATATTGAATAATTAAAAATATGTAAAACCAATGTGTTATTTAACTCAGATGTTACTAGTTTTATGGGAAATATCCTTTTAATTTTAATATGAGTACATGAAATAATTCCCTATAATATGGAAATAATTTTCCAGTTTAATCGTATAAGACATATGGAAACACAAAAATGTCTGCAAATTATAAAATACCCTAAACGATTGGAGCTTACGTTACGAAAGTGCAACCACTTCAGTGCCCAGAAATGGACCATGGAAAACTATATAATAGAGCGATTAACTCCAGAATTACAAATATATGCTAAGAGAAAAATGTGAAGCAAACAAAATATACCCAAGAATTTTTTCAACTTTGAAAGGTGCTATCATTGTAAGTACGTGTTTTTCTTTTTGTAATATAAATACAGAATTGTCAAAAAAAAAATTTTAATCATAATAAATAGTTTATCAGTTTTAGATGTCATCATCAATCATATCAGCCATTTATTGTCGACTGTTGATCACCAGCCCCTCCCTCTCTTCCCTTTGGAAGCTTTTGGGAGTAGTATAGTAGGTGGGTTGGCAACCGCAGTTAGGCCTTGGTAATGTTTTAAAAAGGACACTACTGCTTTTCCCTTGATCATTAAGTTCCCTTAGTCGCCTCTTACGACACCCACAACAACTACACGGCTTTATCAATTTTAGATTTATGTACTTGTTATAAATGAATATTAAAATAATTAAAGTTGAAATGTCAGCGCTGTGATGCTAATATTACTATGAAAGCGGTGGCATCTACATTAGTATTTTATTTATTTGCTGCTTACCCATTTATAAAAAGAATTTAATGTAAGAATTTTAACATATCTATAACAGTATCTATTGTTATAATTGGTTTATTTATAATTGGATCAAATGCTCATTTATCATCTTTTATATGTACGTAAAAAGGCGATTTTGAAAAATAATCTTCAACATTATAAAATATTATGCCAAATTATTCTTATGTTTATTTTAACTCATGCGTTTTACTGCAGGTTTCAACTGCTATGTAAAATGAAATACTGAAATAGACAAACAAAAAATCTCATTTAGCAAAAAGTATTTGCTATGTACCTTCTTTGTACAATGAGCATGACCACAGAAAGGGTACTCTGCTTTTGACTAAACACATTATTGTGGTTTTAATGAAAAAGCAACGAGGCAAAGGGCATTCATTTTACTTTATACGGTTTAAGTAATGTCCGAATGTGTCAAAGTCCACTTTTACCAAAGGTTTGCATACCTACATGTATGTAACTTAATTATTTGGTTAAAGTTATTCGTTTATATTATTTCTCCTTTGTGCATCCAATTTATTTATTTGATCTTGAATAATTGTGGCGTTATTTTTTATTGAGTCTGAAGTTAGTTTTTTCATTATATTTTAATTGAATTAGTTATTCCCGGGGCGTTCCATGGACTGTTATTGTAGTTTTCTTTTTTTATTATTTATGTTTAGGTACATGCAATATTAGAAAATAACATATTTTTATATGACTGAAAATGATAAGTAATAATGAATATATTTATATAATATATGTCATTACATATTTTATTTGTTAGTCTTATTGCTCATTCATCATTATCCGTTATCTGACCAATACTGGCCATAAGTTTCCGCCATAGACTGCCATAAGTGATGATCTTATTTAATTATTTTCGTTTAATTCATAAACACATCATGAATAAAAATGGTGAAGAAAACCGTGGACACAACAGTTTGCAATTAGCCTACCATTGTTTACACGAGAAACCTCTTAACATAATTTAACCAAATATTCTTTTATGTTAGTCAAATTACGGTGAATATTACTAGGTAGTATTTTTATTATTCCAACAATTTTTTTCTTCAATCTTCTGACGATGAGACTCCAGAAGATATTTCACCGAACAAAAAAAATTTTATCATATAATTTTTACATTTTTTTCCTTAAATTGCTGTTAATATTATTATATTACACTAGGTTTAGTATTATTTATGTATTACACAAACAAACACCCATGTTTGTGATAAGTAAGGATTATTTTATTTACAACCTTTTGAGTTGTCAAATTAAGATTACTTTTATTTTATTTTTATTTATCCATTAATACAAATATGTGTACATGGCGGACTTAATGCTAAAAGCATTCTCTCCCAGTCAAACATAGGGAAGTGTCAGAATACTCGAATGCGATACTAGTAATTATTGATATACATACATACTAAAATTACATATATAAACGAATAAATATATATAAATAACAAATATACTTACACATATATGACATATACTATATTATACACGAAATTGAGAATAATATAAAGTACTTACTGCTCGGATAAAGTAAAAAAGTGAGCATGAACGTTTTTTTTTTAAAACAGTACTTATATATTAGCACATGCCTCTTTGCTTTGTAGTATGTGAATACTATAACTTTTACGTATTATAAAGACATTACAATTTAACTGTGATGTACTTGGTTGATGTCTTGAGTAAGCCCTGCTCAAAAATATGTCCAAATAGGTGGCAGCGTAGTACGCCAAGTTATTAAGCCCTAAAATACGAGGTCTGTCCGGAAAGTTCGTATAAAAGTGTTCTGGAATGCGAGAAAGAGGAGTGGGGAGGCCAGGTAAGCGCAGGACCCCTTCCTTATGTCCCTAACAATGCTTCAGTTCTGGTCTGACCGCCGTGCGGTGAATACTGGCTTGTCACGCCATTGTGAAGTTACCTCTTAACGAAACCCCGTCGACATGGAGCCCGCTTCCGTTGAAGAGCAGCGCGTCGTAATCAAGTTTCTCTCGAAACTCGGCAAGAATGGCCGTGAAATTTTTGCCGATCTCAGAACAGTTTATGGGGATGATGCTGTGAAGGAACCAAACGTCCACAAGTGGATAAAAATATTCAGAGAGGGCCGAGACAATGTTGATTGTTTTTTTCGATGTTCGGGGGATTGTCCATCAAGAATTCGTCCCTCCAGGCCAGACAGTTGATGAAAAATTCTACGTCGATGTGCTCAGACGCCTCAAAGCTCGTGTGGCACGAGTTCGTCCAGAATTGGCGCGAGAGGGGCGTTGGATTCTTCACCACGACAATGCCCTGCCCACACCTCTCTTGTTGTCCGTGAGTTTTTGAGTAAAAATTCCATTATGACCGAACAATATATATCGCCGGATTTGGCCCATATATGACTTCTTCTTGTTTAAAAACCAAATTGGTACTTCGGGGGCGGCATTTGGGGGACATAAATGAGATAAAAAAAGCTACGACGGGGCAGCTGAGAAACCTACAACCAGATATATTTCAAGGAGCCTTTTCACAGTGGAAACGGCGTTGGCACAAGTGCATTATGTCACAGGGGGAGTACTTTGAAGGGGATAAAATTGATTTACCTGAATAATTGTAAAATAAAATTTTTAAAAAACTTTTATACGTACTTTCCGGACAAACCTCGTATAGTTCAGCGTAATCATGGCTGGCTTATCCGTCATACTTGTAAATGGGTAATGCCTCTAGGTTCTAGTCGAGTCTGTTTACTGCAACTGATTTATTTTATTAATCTATTCTAATAATTTTCTAATATATTACCTTTTATAGTAATGCTTGATGATTATTGACACAAAATAGTTAATATTATTTAATTTAAAAAATAATCAATAGCTGTGTTTATGCACGTCTAAACTAAAATAACATTACACATGGGCGGTAGAATCATAAAAAAATTCTATTAATCACACAAAAATACTTAATGTTTATTTTAATAAAAAATTTATTCAATAAATAAAATAAATAAATTAAAATAAATAAATATAGGTACATTAAATGTAATAAAAATGTATATATTTTATATTTATTTTACTAATATAAATAAATAAAAAAAAATATCACGGTCAGGTCAGTGATCTTTACTGACTTGATTTCATCCTTACCATTATCAATAAAAAATGATCAAACTACATCAATTTCGTGTTTCAACCGTGAAGCAGTTGCGTTTGCATGTCTGTGTTTCGGTTTGAAGGGTGGGATATGGCGTAAATTTACAGGGTACAGAGGAATAACACCCGAGTCCTCAGGAATGGCAACGCATGAGGGGTATTATGGGCGAAACATTATACTGTGTTATGTTCATGGTACTGCTCATGTCTATAGGCGACGGTTACCACTTTCCATTAGGTGGGCCGTCAGCTTGTTTGCCATTCTAAGTTGTATAAAAAAAATCAATTAGTTAAAAACAGTCGAATACACAATAAAAAAAACATTACATATATAATATGTTTGTGATAATATTAATTTAGCAGTCAGAGACAAATATAATTCACTAGTATTGTAGTTAACTAAATACGATTAATTATAATATTAAATTGTATTTCCACACAAACACTTTATCTCAATTTGTTTATATAATGAAACAATTTATAATTGGGTACGATTAAGGTTTAACTTTTATAAAAAGGTAAAATAAATTGCCCGGTTTTATTCTGCGTGATTTTGTTCATCCTTATCCTACCTTAATTGCTAGGGAGTTTTAGGTTTACTTCTAAGAGTGGAACAGATAAATGTGTTTTTCTAATTGTTATAAATATTTCATTTCTATACAAACATAAAATTACAAACACACTGAACTGGACAATCATGAATGGTATCACGGTCGACACGGACACGGTCTATTATGTTCATAGTACTGTTCGTGTCTATAGGCGACGGTTACTATTTTTAGACCGTTAGCTTTTTTGCCATTCTAAGTTGTATAACAGCACCATGAATGTCAAATATACTGTGACGCCCAGTATTTTTATTCATATTTACGATCATTCATTCTATTAATTAATAGTCGTTTTGCAGGGGTAACTCTGTTCCAGCTGTGTTTCTGCCAAGAAGTTATACGCATGACAATGATTCATTTTAAAGAGTGAGATATAGCAGTAACAATATTTAGTACGAAGGCTTTACTTTAGTCGTCAGTAAAGGCAACACGTGATAGGTACCATAGGTATCACAGTGTATCCGTTTCATGGTTCATGACTATAGGCGACGGTTACCACTTTCGATTAAGTGAAACGTCAGATTTTTTATTATTCTATTATATAAAAAAAAATCTTTTATTTAATAAACGGATTTTTTTTTCTATTATTCCTTTAGTGTACAATAAAGTGTAAATAATTACATATTTTATATGTTGCTATAAAACAAAATATATTCTTAAATGTCATTATTACTTTCCATTAAGTGAGATTATAATCAATAGAGGGACCATTATTTACAGTAAAAAAAAAAAGATACAGCAGCTTCTGTACCTGCTGATTGGTGTCCAATTTAT